ATAGTTATGAACTAAAAAATCAATATACATCAATATGTATATTTAAATACATCTGGAATATATGTATGAATATTTTGATAATCTCATGAACATATTTTTAATTGAATATATGTACAGTTACAGTTTTCATTGGTTTAATGAAGGAACAGATTTAGATTTGTATTCAGTCTAGTTCTTAAAGAAAGCGATTAATATTTATCTATTGCTTTAATGCAACGAACTGATAATTAGAATTTTTCTCGACTATTCTAACGTTTCTTTTGTCCGTACAAATATTTTCGTCCGCCACCGCGATTTCATCTATATTGTAATTTCGTGCAATCTACAGTACGGTAACACGACACCTTTATGTAATCGAGATATGGCTACCCAGCCGTTTTATGTTTTCCTCAGATCATCTGGTTTTCGCGTCTTTCACAGAAAACAGACTTCATTAAAGCCGATAATCGCGACGGCTCTGCTCACACGACAAAAGAAAAATAGTATCAGGCACTCTTCCTAGTCTGTACTAACTTTCAGCCAAGGACAACCTGTTGAACCATATAATCCTATAAGCAACGCTCAGTGACCAATTTTGACAATAGCCATTCCAACGAATATATTAATCATTTCAGTAAACATACAAATTATTTCAAGACAATCAAACTGATTCTATTTTTAGTTCAAATTACATTGTTATATTATTATATTAATACAAATTATATTATTATATTAATATAAATTATTATTTTATTAATTCAATTGTTATTATTTAATTTGCCGTACATTTATTTCGCCTATTTGTTGGTATTAGTTGTATCAATTTAGTGAGTACGAAACTCATGAAAATTCGAAATCATTCTCTCAGAAGTTTGTTTATTTAAAGAAGAATGGCGAGCACAAAACGGCCTTTTCATCCATCTATTTTGAGGCTCGAACACAATGCGTAGCTATATATAACAAATCTGAACGTGACTCGAAACATTATAATTTAAAATGTGAAATAACATTTAATTTTATTAAATATTCTATAAAAATTATTTAAGGAATAAGTTTTTCTTGAATCCACTGTTTTTTCTCAAATAACAGACAATTAGGAAATTGTTTAAATAAAATGATAAATAAGAAGTAAGTGATAAACTGAGAGAGTGGATGTTGGCAAACATTTATTACACAACTAGCAGAGACCTCTTTGTTTAGCAATTAGAGTATCAAATATTAATTACATCAATTATTCAACGTATTTTAGTGCTTCGTCCTAGAAAGTTAATGATAATAACAATATTCATTGTTATAAAATTGTGTTAGAACCGCATAGAATCATTTTACCTGCATTACTTCCACATTTTCAATGAAAACAACGCAACGATTTTCGCAACGAAATTAATAAAAAATAATAATAATAATACTGTTACCAACAAACGTTAAGGGTCAACAATTTTCATAGCGACACTAGTGTACCTGAGTCGCAATAGGAATACCGAAGGTAGTATTAAAAGGTTATTTCTTTTCGTTAAACTCGCATGTAATTGGTATTATAATTAGCATAAACTGGCCACTGCGCGGCAAATTGCACTTTCTCGTTTCTTATCTCTCGTCTTCCCGTCACTTGTCACTGTTCTTGCTGCTGTCGACACTCACTTTTCTCTATCATAACTTATCCTGTGAATCTTTTCCCAGATCGGTACGAGTTCGTATACGCGATCGAGATTCGCGCGAATGGACAAGCTCCAAGGATGACGGAGAACTACTGAGAGGCGTCGCGACGCTGCCGCCGCCATCGCCATACATTGCGTCGCGTCGTATAACTACGCAGAAGCCGGCGATTCAGAATAGTCTCATCACGTTTAAAAATTCGCGCAGAATGAGTATACCGGCCTATGAAATGGTCCCACGAAACCATTACTTTTCATCTATCCGATATTGGTGTCGCATTCATTTTTTTATTTTTATAAGCAAATTCTTTTGTCCTGAGACACTTAGAATATTAGGTTGACCGGAACGTCGTTTTTTCAATATTATCAGTTATTTTCAGCATACCGCTATATTGTTGAAGATTAACATTAATTAAATAAAACAATGATTGTGTTTTATAAAACTCAATTTAATGAAATGAGAAACTAGTCTTTAAAACCTAATGTAATATTTATATACATATAAAAAAAATATATACTAATNTTTATATATATATAAAAAAAATCTATACTCATACAATTAGAATACCGATATTTTTGCAAAATAAAAGTTGTCTAACAATAAACATTTGAACTTGAATTTAAAATGCAATTTTAATATTATTCCTTAATTAATATCCTACTTTAGAAATCAATCGTTAGAAGCAGAAAATAAATGGAAACGTATTTCCTTTTTTAATCAATTTAATGAGTAATAAATTAAAATAACGTTATCATTAAATTCTCTTAATGTCTTAACAGCTGTCTCTTATACACATCTTTTATCTTGTTCAATCACGTAGCAGTTTAATTATTGTACCTACTTACAAAATATCAGTGGAATTATTAATATCAATGTGGATATTATTAACTTTGATATTAATAATTCCACTGATATTTTGTAAGTAGGTACAATAATTAAACTGCTACGTGATTGAACAAGATAAATGAAAAGTCTTGTACTCCAATACTAATATTTTAAAAAATAGGGTATTATTAACTTTGTTATTAACATCAAAGTTAATAATACCCACATTGATATTAATAATTCCACTGATATTTTGTAAGTAGGTACAATAATTAAACTGCTACGTGATTGAACAAGATAAATGAAAAGTCTTGTACTCCAATACTAATATTTTAAAAAATAGGGTATTATTAACTTTGTTATTAACATCAAAGTTAATAATACCCACATTGATATTAATAATTCCACTGATATTTTGTAAGTAGGTACAATAATTAAACTGCTACGTGATTGAACAAGATAAATGAAAAGTCTTGTACTCCAATACTAATATTTTAAAAAATAGGGTATTATTAACTTTGTTATTAACATCAAAGTTAATAATACCCACATTGATATTAATAATTCCACTGATATTTTGTAAGTAGGTACAATAATTAAACTGCTACGTGATTGAACAAGATAAATGAAAAGTCTTGTACTCCAATACTAATATTTTAAAAAATAGGGTATTATTAACTTTGTTATTAACATCAAAGTTAATAATACCCACATTGATATTAATAATTCCACTGATATTTTGTAAGTAGGTACAATAATTAAACTGCTACGTGATTGAACAAGATAAATGAAAAGTCTTGTACTCCAATACTAATATTTTAAAAAATAGGGTATTATTAACTTTGTTATTAACATCAAAGTTAATAATACCCACATTGATATTAATAATTCCACTGATATTTTGTAAGTAGGTACAATAATTAAACTGCTACGTGATTGAACAAGATAAATGAAAAGTCTTGTACTCCAATACTAATATTTTAAAAAATAGGGTATTATTAACTTTGTTATTAACATCAAAGTTAATAATACCCACATTGATATTAATAATTCCACTGATATTTTGTAAGTAGGTACAATAATTAAACTGCTACGTGATTGAACAAGATAAATGAAAAGTCTTGTACTCCAATACTAATATTTTAAAAAATAGGGTATTATTAACTTTGTTATTAACATCAAAGTTAATAATACCCACATTGATATTAATAATTCCACTGATATTTTGTAAGTAGGTACAATAATTAAACTGCTACGTGATTGAACAAGATAAATGAAAAGTCTTGTACTCCAATACTAATATTTTAAAAAATAGGGTATTATTAACTTTGTTATTAACATCAAAGTTAATAATACCCACATTGATATTAATAATTCCACTGATATTTTGTAAGTAGGTACAATAATTAAACTGCTACGTGATTGAACAAGATAAATGAAAAGTCTTGTACTCCAATACTAATATTTTAAAAAATAGGGTATTATTAACTTTGTTATTAACATCAAAGTTAATAATACCCACATTGATATTAATAATTCCACTGATATTTTGTAAGTAAGTACAATAATTAAACTGTTACGTAGTTGAACAAGATAAATGAAAAATCTTGTACACCATATCAATATTTTTAAAAATACATTTGCTTTTATATTAACATATGAAGGTGTAATTACTATGAATTAATCATATGCCTGAAGAATAAATCAGATGAAAGAAAAACAAATTCGAAACATAAGTTTCAAACATACATTATCATTATGAATTTTAATAATCTTTCAACACTGATTTGTAAAATTACGTCAAACACTTTAAATGACATTATTTTAATTTCTTTCGTTTAATACTATACGTTTACTAATAATTGACGTTTTCATTTCATATATTTACCTGCACCGAAAATTTCCCATTTTCTCTTACATGTTATATCATGTTATGATAATTTAATATTATACAAAAGCATGCACCAAGTAAACGCACCTTTACCAAAAAGAAATCCTCGGCCGATTTTCAAAGCACTGTCAATCTCGTGCAACAGATCGCTTTCATTGCCATAACCACTTCTCTGAACTAAAAAAACCATGCCCAATATGTAAAAAAAAAAATAGCAACTAATCGTAATCAACACATAGACATTACACAGAGAGACATGCACGGATCAGTTTGTGGGATTGTAGAAATGCAGTTTAGCAGTGCGTCGGAAGCGTTGAACAAATCTCGTAGAATACTCACGCTTCATCCCTCTCTTTCTCTCTCTTTCCTCTCTCTCTCTCCCTCTCTCTCTCTCTCTCTCTCTCTCTCTCTCTCTCGCGCGCGCGCGCGTACTTGAAAAGCTTCGTCTAAGCTGCGAATAATTTTCTAGCTTTAACGAGGTAGCAAAAAAGCAGCGGTCCGAAAAGATTTGCGAAAACTCGACAGGGAAATTTGCATGCACGTATTACATCTAATTTCTACTTTCAGTGCTCTCTATATACAAATTTCTTCTAGCTTATATTCAAATTTTCTATTTAACTAGATTGGAATCGAAATGAAATACGAGTACCTTAACCCTCTATAACTCAGTGTAACCTTGAAATCACATACTGATTTCATTTGTAGCCACAATGATTATATATCGCAACTTACTTCTTATAGTCTTACAGTCTTCATACATCAGAGTAAATTAATTTTCTTTAACACTCAATTTTTGTATCTCGATAAAAATCTTGATAACTGATAACATCTAATAACTGACTAAACTGAGAATTATTTATAATTTTATTTAGCAATTTTTTCAACATATTTTTCAAGGCTCTCCTTTTGGACATGTTAGTTTTCTATAAACCATAATAAAACATGCAACAATTTCAATTAATTCTCAGAAATTGAATAGTCAAATAACAATATTTATGAACTTGGCTCAAATATGTACCCATTGTTACCAAATCAACTTAATAATCATTATGGGAGAAGTTGAACAGCAATTGAGAAAAAGTGATTGGAACTTAAAGAAAGAGAGAAGTGACTTAGAAAACAATTTTTTTATAGCCTTTTGGTAAAAATTATGTTAAATTAGAATTTCAAAAGGTGTCTTTAAATTAGTGTTGAAGATAGTAAGTTCGTTACCAATTTGTATGGAGCGATTGATATTCAAGTTATATAAGTTATCTCAGACCTACATAAAATAATTCAGGCTATAGAGGGTTAAATAAATATTCCTTACTTAATAAATAAGACAATTGAATAAACATAATTTTTGTTTTGACATAATGTTCCTTAAACATAATTTTCTTAAAATATCACTCGCATTATTGCTCGCAATGTCAACGTTCATTTTCACTTGGAAACTCTAACGAGTAAATGAAACGTGTCCAAAATATTCCACGGTGATCGTTTTGCATTAGTAATTTGTTAGTTGTTATCGCCAGACTGTTGATCATTGTGCGATTTTCATTGCATTATAAAAATCCGCATGTTTTCTTGTGTTTTAAAAATGTGCGAATACCATAACCGCATAAAGATTCGCAATCCAGTTATCACGTCGTACGAAAACTTTTAGTAGTTTATTTTATTACTGCAATATCACGTCCTTAATAAAACCTCGAAGATACGATTCGAAACACTCAAGAATTTGATCGTAAAGAAATCATGGCGAAAACCTAGCACGGATGTCGTTAATGAAAAATATGGCCGACTCTGCACGCAAGGAGCCAGCTGGGAAAAGGGTTAAGGTCTGAAGACGAGTAACTCCAGTTAAAATGGCGGATGTTGATTATGTTGCAACCGGTCGGAAATAGCCAAAATGGAGACGGTGGTTCCGGCGTGAGGCTGGACGCGCGAGCAAATGTTCTACGGTTCTACGAACACTGGCCTATTTCCCGATCCCACCTATATTTAACTCCTCATTCTCGAATGAATCATGAACTCAGGTTGCAACCGACCAACCTGACTTGTTATTCGTCCACATGACTCGGCATCGAAGACAAATAAATCGTCTAAATGGATATCCACTGCGGGCAGGACAAATTTTCATTGGGACCCGGCTAAGAGATGGATATTTCTAAACGTTCCTCGACCATTTCTTCGGAGAAACTTGAAAACCATCGACATCAAGTGGAAGTACAATTATATCCATTCACTAATGTCACATTCTTGCATACAAAATGGCAAACTGTTCAACGTTGCTTTTTACACGATGTTTATTAGTCAGTGTGGAAACCAAAAAATTTTGCATTTTTAAGAAGGCGTGCATTTTACCTAGTTGTGTGCATAGTGAAATGTCCAAAGCAACTTTATTAAAATTGCAATAACAATATAAATGCGTTCATTAAAATTCTAACAACAATATACACTTACTGACAAAAGTT